GAATAGGTATACGTTGTATAACATATTTATTGGGGTGTATATCCAACTTTGCTGCTGCTGCTGCAGCAAAGAAAAGACCTAAGAATATACTACCCAACATAAAAAGACGTTTCCTTCTTTTGCTGCTGCTGCTGCTGCTCTTGCTGCTGCTGCTGCTTCTTCCTTTAGCTCCTCTAAAAGAAGAAAATATATTTACCTGTTCATTGTCTTGTTCTACTGCTGCAGCAGCAGCAGCAGCAGAATCTGCTGCTGCTGCTGCTGCACCTCTACGATGCCTGGCTGATGGTAGTCTTCCTGTTTCTCCTGCTGCTGCAGCATTAAGAGCAGCAGCAGCAGCAGCAGGATCTACTCCTGGATACACTGGAGAACCCCAAGCAGCAGCAGCAGCTGCTGCTGCATGCAGCAAACCTGTAGGTCTATCTGCTGATGGTGTATAATTGAGTGTATATTCATCAATAGACATCCAATTTGTTGCAGTAGATGGTTGTGCTGATCCTGTTGCTGCTGCTGCTGCTCTCCAGTGTATAGGCAGGTAAGAAGGAGGATTCAATGGTGCAAGAGGGGGCCCCCCTAACCCGTCTGTTGCACGTACTTGAGTAAGAAAAGGGGAAACAAGGGGGCCCCCTCCTCTAGGTATATCTGTATGTGTCTCTGATAGAGAATAACCTCTTAATTGATCCATCTTAACAAAAAGAACTAATTAATACTGTTTTTTGCATGCATGCATGCAAAAAATTGTATACAAATAGACTTATGCATGCATGAGTGCATGCATGCATGCGGGTGCATGCAACAAATGGGGAAAACAAAAAAGAACAAATGGGGCTTAAAAATCCATCTTTTTTAATAAAAACACATTTATTCTTGTGTATAAACTAATTATTTAATTAAATACATCAAAAAAAAGAAAAAATAAACATAAAAATACACAAAACTGCACAGAAGACAGGCCCCTATCTATACATATACAGCCCCGCGGTACGAGCAGCAGCAGCAATAGCAGCAGCAGCTGCTGCTGCTCGTGCTGCTGCTCTTGCTGCTGCAAATCTATTCATAATTAATTAAACAGTTATTTATTAATAAATAAATAAATAAATAAAATAATTAATTAATTAATAAATTAATTTATTTATTTACTTATTTGTTTAGTATAATATAATTTTATATATATAGAGGAAGACACGTGTATATATTAATAGTATATAATAAAATATTTATTTTTTATTAATAAATAAATAAATATAATTAATTTATTAATAATTAAGTAAATTAAATAAATATAATTATAAATAAAAAGAAAATAAATAAAAAAATATATATTATTTATTGTCTTTTTTATAATAAATATATTTATTTATATATATTTATTATATATTTTTATTTATTTATTAATAAAAAAAAAGAATAAATTATTTTTTTTCTTTTTTTTTCTTTTTTTATTTAATTATAATTAAATAAATTATTATTTATTTATTTTTTATTAATAAATATAATATATTTTCCTTGTCTATTCTTAATAGTATATTAGGGAAAAATAATTACCTATAATAATAATATATTATTTATATATTATTTATTATATATAAATAAATAATAATATATTAATAATATAAATAATATATTAATATATAAATAATATTACTATTATTATTTAACAATATATAAATATAAATAAATAAATAATTATTCCCCCTCTTGGGGTGTATGCACAGTTAGTCTTATTACTTGGGGTGTACGTACACCTCAACAATAATAAGACATCCAATAACAGACAAAACAGCTGCTGCTGCTGCAGCAGCAGCAGCAGCAGCAGCAGTAGCAGCAGCTATTAGTTCTAGCTACCTAGCTAGATCCAGCAAGCCAGCTAGCTAGCTAGCTAGCCAGCTAGCTACCAGTAAACTGCAGCAAGCTAGCTGCATATATCCAGCCTTATCTAGCTAGCTAGCCACAGCTAGCCAGCATTAGCTAGCTAGCCAGTCTTAGCTAGCTAGCTATTCACAGCTAGCTAGCTAGCTACAGCTAGCTAGCTGAATATCTGCGTCGCTGCTGCATAAGTTGTTGGTGTATTTTTTTTCTTTCTCCTCTTAATAGATGAATTTTTTTTCTTTTTTTTTCCTTAAATAAATAAATAAATAAATAAATAAATAAAATTAATCATTATGTTTATTAGTATTAATCTTAATAATATTATTATCTTTATTAATAAAATAATTAATTGGTATAAAACGTCCATCTGCTAATTCTGCAGAAATTAAATTACGATTTATTGCTGGATGCAGCAGAGAGGCGAATTCTCCTACCCTATTAACATAAATAAATAAATAATTAATTAATTAATTAATTAATTTATTAATTATATACATTTAATTAATTAAGTAATTAATTTAATTAATTAATTAAATTAAATTAAAAAAAAAAAGGAAAAAAGGGGGAAAAAAAATGATTAAATGATGAACAAAAAAAAACAAAAAATAAATAAATAAATAAATAAATAAATAAA